TTTTTTTTCAAGTTTACCCACCATCAGCTTTCCTAAACACAAGTATTCTATATATGTTATAGTTCAAATATCCATTGCATTTCAGTAAGGAGGTGTTGAATTGATGTAAATGAAATATTCTTATTTTACAGGCACTGGTGAGAAACTTTCTCCTGATAAATAATTTTGCAACCTGATATCTTGTACTGCAGAGGTTCTTGCTCTTGTGTGTTTTCCGTTTTCGAACTGAGTTTGATATCATTTAACTCATGCCCCTCCAGATGGTTTTAAGTGAAGTGATATTAAACTCAGTTCAAAAAAAGGAAACACGATGGAGTAAGAAATTCTGCAGTACAAGAGGCCAAGGTTGCAACATTATATATCGGGAGAAAGTTTCTCACCAGTGCCTGTAAAATATGAACATTTAATTTGCATAAATTATTATTTCTAGCTATTCGTGTGAACCAGTGATTCTTTGGGAGGGCGCAGTACACAAAGGGTGGTGGTATGATAGCGTACTTTCTTACCGACAGGGCAGGCGGTATGATAGCATACACTCTTACTGACTGAGCTTTCGGCACTGGCGGCAGCCATTTTGTATCTATAGAGATGCATGCTGCCACTGCGCTAGCTGTGATGCTTCATGACGTCACGGTGGCTATATAGCCCACCAATAGCATTGAGTTACCACCCCCTGTCTGCAGCGCCATCAGTCGTGCAGCATGTAGCCTGTCGCTATCGGTCGCTATACCGACTGAGCTATCAATCCAGTTTAAAATGTACAAATATCTTTGATGAAAGTTCACAATTAATTCCGTTTTTGTTCTTGTATTTTAATGGCACTCACCTTACGAGAGCTGTTATAAATTGAATAATTTTGGTGTTTCTACAAAATTATTAAGAGCTGCATAAGAAATTCCCGAGAGATCGATCATCACTACAAAATTATTAGGAGCTGAATAAGAAATTCCCGAGAGATCGATCATCACCCTAATCGATATCCAAAATGGCAGGTCGTGCAGAGGTTAATGGTAATGACACTCAAGTTTTCATCAATGATCGTAGTGTAACAAGTGAGGTAACGAGTGCTTGTTGTCATAAATTTAAAATAGAACTCAGATCAGCACAAAAAATTATTGAACTGCTACAAGAAGAGATAAACGCGCCCAGTCGTACCGTAAGTACAGATTCATGTTACTTCCACAGTTCGAACTCAAAAAAGGGAACCGGGTTCTTGTGTTCATGAATCTCCGCTGGAACATCTGGCAAACCTGACTTAGGTTTTTTCATGGTTTTTCACAGTACCACCAGGCATGTGTTTTTGGACTTAGTATCCCTAATCAGGTGACAAGCACCAAGACTTTTGAATACATTATTTACTAATCATTGGCCATTTTATACTATATAGTTTCCGCTACGAAGTGTGTTGTGAAATCATGAAAGGAAATGTAGTGCAGGAGCAATTTTGAATGTTGTTAATAATCGGACACAACTTTCAGCACCAGAAGAGATAGTGTCCAACATCAGGACTGAGCCTGATAACAGCGAACTGGAGCTACAGATAGCCCTCAAGAAAGCATGGAGACTGAAGCTGCAGGAAGCTGTTACAGAATCAAAGAACAGTGTAGAAAAGGTACATCACAACAGCAGATTTCCTTTTTAATCCTCACAAATATTTGGCTGTAGTAGGGGTCATTTCTCTTGTTCAATCAAGGCCATCTTCCTGCCTCTTTGCTTTTTCTCCCTGAGACAAGAGAGGAGCAGCCCTATGGATAGGTGGTGGGAGGTGATGAAATTGTCCCTAGCTACAGAATCCTGTGCCACGTTTAGTTCCTACACAGTGTGTCCATATGTTCCAGTTATAAAATGTTGCACAGAACTTTGTAGTAAAGTTCATTATGATGTTTCCTCCTTGGTTACTGTACAAAACCATTGTACCCTAGAGAAACTATATTGTAATTTAACCTGAGGGCTATTAAATTGTTTCTCTCACAGTTTGTTGTGGTGGGCCTCAAACCAGTAAATCGTATGTTCACATTTAAGTAACATCATCATCGTTTCTTACTGTGCTACAAACTGAAAGGTCATGGGTTCGATTCCCAGTTAGGTAATTGGATTTTTAGATTGACCGAATCCTACCAGTCACACTATGGCCCTGGTGTCAAGTCAGCCTCTAACAGAAATGAGTACCAGGAATATTCTTGGGAGGTAAAGGGCAGCTTGTGTGTAAGGCTGATACCCTCACCACCATCTGTGAGCTTATTTTCGAGAAAGTATGGGAGCCTTGACGCCTCACACCCCTATGGGCCTCCACGGCCTGTTAGAGGGAAAGCTCTACCTTTTTTTATACTGTCATCCTTTCTTGTATTTTGGTTATTGAGACCTGTTATGGCCTCCTGTCAAATAGGCACCAGGGGCTGTTTCCCCAGGTGTGGGAGTGGCATGGAGCTGGTCACTCACCTCCATCTAGAGCATAACTAATTAAGCATAGGGACAGCTTTGCATTTATGGATACTACAAAACAGAATGCTGTATAGCTACATAATTTAACTGTTTGTGATTTGTGATGTTTTAAGGTGGCAGAGTCAGTACTGGAGAGAAACTCAGAAGGAAACACGGAAGGTGGTTCCATTGTGCTGAATGCTACAGCAGAATTCTGCCGTACGTTGGGTGATGTCCCCATTTATGGTCTGACTGGCAACAGATGACGACGCTCAGGAACTACTTGTGAGTGCAATATAACCATCCGCAGATACATGTACACTTGGCAAGGCACTTTGATTTAGCATGTGTCAAGACAAGATACAGTCCATTGCTCATGTACAGTTATTTACTGCAGCTGCAACAGTATTAGAATATATTTTAATTACAGTTGAATTCCATGATAATGGATATATAAATTACTGTACTGGAAACATCCAACAGAAACCCTAGAAATGAAAGCACTCATTATACAATAAGAATGTGATAGTTGAGATGGTAAAACCTTTTTCGTCTTCTTCTTGACAAGTGGTACCTTCTGGAATAAAATGCCGTGTAATGTGATAAGGTCCATAAGCATTTTGAAGGAATGTCAGTGGACTTACAGGATGTTACTTCCCAGAAGATAGTGCCTTTCCTAATCTCCTCTACAGGAATCTCAAATCCAGTCTATTTCCCCCCCCCACATCTTTTATTTCTTTTTTCTCCCTGCCATGTGCATGATACAAAGGTAGAAAAGACGCTACTAGGAATTACATGTGAAACTGAAATAGGGATGAATAAATAGCTCAGAACTTGACTAAATGAAAAACCAATAGTTCTTGTAATTTTATTCATTGCAAAGTGAATCGAATGTCAATCGTCACAGTATTCTCACTGCAAACTCAGAGTCAGTTTGGCAGGTGCACATTGCTTGGCAGAATGAGAGTATGTTTCTAATAGATCTGTAACTTTAAGCATACTGTGATATTAAAAAGATATTTTGGCAAAGAAGTTTCAAGATGATCAGTATAGTCAGAAGAATTCTGCCTTCTGGGGTATCATCCAAATTTCCGGGGGAATATGTGATCTGAATCTTCAGGGTCAAAGAATAAATGAAACAAGAAGCCACCGTGAAGCAGGTAGGAAGCTTGGCTTTGTTACCTGCCAGTGCTGGTTTCTTGCTTGATTTATTCTTCAACCCTAAAGATGGAGGCAACATGTTTCTGCAAACTGTCTATTGACTTTCGACAGACTACACGGCATTATATCCCAGATGACAGAACTCTTCAAAACTACTGCTGACAGAAGCTCAAATCCTACGCAGTATAGTCAGTACTTTACAGTGTAGTCATTTTTTATGTAGTGGTTGGTGGGTAAGCAGTTCAGATTTCAGTCTATCTCAAGGTAATTTTGAATTGGTAATTTTTGGACTGCACACTTGTGTTCTGTTAATCTCATACAAAATTTACATTACAGGACTTTGAGAGGGAAATGATTGAAGAGAAGAAACGTCAGGAAGAAGGCAAATGTGGAGCTTGGAATGAAGTTGAGATTGGTGAGTCATTAGCAGATTCTTTATGTACAACATAGGCCTTTCATATTAAGAGATATTGACACGATAGTATTGGTTTTAATTGTGCGTTTATATTTTAAGTAATTCATAAATGGTGTACCGTATTTAATCATATACTGCAGTTTTGTTAGGAGTTTTAGTAGAAACACATTAATCATTACTGTTTAATGTAAGTAGCAGTAGGGTAGTTGGTTGAGGCACTATGCTACAAGTTGGAAGGTCATGGGTTCAAGTCCCGATGAAGTCATTAATTTTTTTCAATTGACCTAATCCTTCCAGCTGCACTGTGGCCCTGGGGTCGACTCAGCCTCTTAACAGAAATGAGTACCAGGAATTTTTGTGGGGCTTAAAGTGTGGCCGGTACATAAGGCTGACAACCTCACCACCATCGATGAGCCGTTTGTCTAGAAAATGTGGGAGCCTTAATGTCTCACAACCCTATGGACCTCCACGGTCTGTTACAGGGATAACTGTACCCTTTTCTTTTTTTTTTACTGTATAGTGTCTTGGTATGTAATGAATGTCAC